TGGCTACACCAGTCTGCATTCCCACCAGCAGTGCACGAGGGTTCCTTTTTCTCAGCATTCTCGCCAGCACTTGTCTTTTGTTGATTTGTTGATGATTGCCACTCTGACAGGTGTGAGATGCTACCTCATTGTTGTTTTGATTTTCATCTCTCGGATGATTAGTGACTTTGAGCATGTTTTCATATGTCTCTTGGCTTTCTGAATGTCCTCTTTTGGAAAGTGTATATTTAGGCCCTTTGCCAATTTTTTGATTGGATTGTTTATCTTCCTTTTGTTAAGTTGTATGAGTTCCCTATAAATGTTGGAGATTAATAGCTAGAGTTTTATTTTGAAATCTTTTAAAAACATTGCTTTTAAAATTTACTTATACTTACTAATCTTATTTATGTTATTAAAGCTGTTTGATAGGTCTTGAAAGCTGTAGTATAAGCTTGCTAACTCTTTTCTTTTTAAAAGGGTGCCTAAGTTTTTCTTGGCCTTTTGCATTTCCATAAATTCAATATATCAATCTTTTACTTTATGAATAAAACATTGTGTAACCTATTTCAGACATCTTCCTATGCTAAAGTCTTAAAAATATTCTTTTATATTACTTTCCAGAAGAAGTTTTAATTCTAAAAATTAAGTATCCATATAGGTATTATTTCTCTGGACTCTATATTCAGTTCCACTGGTGTCTTGTGCCAGTACGACATTGTTCTAATTCTATCCCTGTATTAAAAAAACCTCGATGTTTAGTAGATCAAGTCCTCCTAATTTTTTTCTGTAGTGAGTGTTATGGTCATTCCTGGCCCTTTACAATTTTGTGTAAATTTTAGAGTCAACTTCACACACACACACACACACACACACACACACCCCACAAAAACAAAAAACTTGTCAGATTTTAATGTATTTGTTGGTTTTCTTTTTCTTGCCTATTTACTGGACTTCTAGTACAGTGTTGAATATAAGTGGCATCTTTATCTACTTCCCAGTTTCACAGGAAAACATTTCAACATTTTACCATTAAGAATGCTGTTTGCTGTAGATTAAAAAACACCTAATAGCTCAGCTGGTTTGGCTCAGTGGCTGAGCATCAACCCATGAACCAGGAGGTCACTGGTTCAATTCCAGGTCAGGGCACATACCCGGGTTTGGACTTGATCATCAGTCAGGGGCATGCAGGAGGCAGCCAATCAATGATGTTTCTCTATCACCAATGTTTCTGTCTCTCTCTCTCTCTCTCTCTCTCTCTCTCTCTCAATAAAATCACATTAAAAACACCCCAACACTAACAGACTTTGCTTTCTAGAGAAGTTTTAGGTTTAAAGGAAAATAAAAAAGAAAATACAGCGAGTTTTCCATATAATCCCTTCCCTTTATCTCCCCAGTTTCTCCTGTCATTAACATCTGCCTTGGTGTGGTTCGTTTGTTATAACTGATGAACTAATATTGATACTCTATTACTAAAGTCCATAGTTTATATTAGAGTCACTCTGTCTGCTGTGCATTCTATAGGTTTTGACCAATGCATGTTGTCATGTATCCACCTTTATAGTATAATTTCAGCACCCTGAAACGACCGTATTCCACCTATTCTTTTTTTAAATTTTAAATTCTTTATTGTTTAAAGTATTACATATAGTATTACAATGTCTCCTTTTTCCCCCCATTGAGCTCTTCCCAGCCATCCCCACCCCCCAGCACATGCCCTCACCCCCCTAGTGTCTGTGTCCATTGGTTATGCTTATATGCATGCATACAAGTCCTTTGGTTGATCTCTTATCCCCCACCCCCAAACCTATTCTTTTTTAAAAAATTATTATCGACAGTATTGCAGATATCCCCCATTTCCCCTCCTCCCTTTGCCCACCTCCACCCAGCCTTCCCTTTTTCCGGGTATTTAAAAAATAATTTTTATTGTTATTCTATCTATTCTTACCTCCTCAGTTCCCTCAACCCTTGGCAACTACTAATCTTTTTACTGTCTCTATAGTTTTTCCTTTTCCAGAATGTCATATAGTTGGATTATACAGTATGTAGCCTTTTCAGACTGGCTTCTTTCACCTAACAATATGCCTTTAAGGTTTCTCCATGTCTTTTAGTGGCTTCATAGCTAATTTCTTTTCATTGCTAAATAATATTCTAGTGTATGGATGCACCACACCTTGTCCATTTACCTGTGGAAAAAATATCTTGGTTGATTTCAATTTTCGGCACTTATGAATAAAATTGCTATAAACATTTATCTGCAGGTTTCAACTGTGTCTATTCTGCTCTTAAACCTAGCCACCAAGTTCTTCAATTCATTGCATTTTTCAGTTCTAGAATTTTGATTTTGTTTTCTTTGATAATTTCTAGTTCTGTGCTATAATTCTTGATGTAAAAGATTTTCCTTAAACATATTTAGAATAAAGTCTGATAGACTCTATTATATGGATTCCCTGTGGCTTTGTTTCTATCATCTGCTGTTTACTCTTTTTTTTCTATCATGCTCTCTTGCTTTCTCATAGGTTGGTTAATTTTTATCATATACAGAATATTGTGTTTAAAAATTGTAGAAATATTTTGAGATCCAGGATTTTGTTATCTTCCTTTAGAGATTTTCATTTGTTTCTGGCAGATGGCTAGGGTACATTATCAATTCCAGATATTCTTTTTGTTTTAATTTTATTTTTTGATTATAGCTTACATTCAACACTTTTTTGTATTAGCTTCAGGAGTGCAACACAGTGGATAGACATTCATATAGGTTACAAAGTGATCCCTCTGATAATTCAAGTGCCCACCTGGCACCATAGTTATTACACTACTAGAGGCCCAGTGCACGAAATTCCTGCACTGGTATGGTCCCTAACAGCTGCCTGCTGCTGGGCAGGTACTCCCTCCCTTCCCTTGGCTGGCCCCACCCCCTGGTCGAACTTCCAGAGGAACTCCTGGTCGAGGGGACAATTTGCATACTATGCTTTTATTATATAGGATTGTTAACTATATTCCCTGTGCTTTACCTGACGTCATATACCTATTTTGTGGCTACCAATTAGTACTTCTTAATCTTATCACCTTTTTTTACCCCATCCCTCAAAATGGCCTCCATTAGTTTGTTTTCTGTAACTATAAATCTGTTTCTGTTTTGTTTTTTAGATTCTACATATAAGTAATATCTTATAGTATTTGTCTCTGTCTGGCTTATTTCACTTAGCATAATACCTAGGTCCATCCATGCTATCACAAATGGTAAGATTTATTTATTTATTTATTTATTTATTTATTTATTTATTTATAAGATTTCATTATTTTTTCATGGCTGAGTAATATTTCATTTTATATAGAAAAACATTGATCGGCTGCCCCCTGCATGCCCCCTACTCGGTCATAAGGAAGTTCCATTTTCAATTTTTTGAGGAGCCGCCACACTTTTTTCCATAGTGGTTGTATCAAACTGCATTCCTACCAACAGTGCACTAGGGTTCTCTTTTCTCCACATCTTCACCAACATTTGTTGTGTGTTGATTTATGGATGATCGCCATTCTGACAGGTGTGAGGTGATATCTCACTATCATTTTAATTTGCATTTCTCTGATGATTAGTGATGTTGAGAGCAACTTTCATAAGTTTATTGGCCATCTGTGTGTCCTTTTGGAAGTGTCTATTCAGGTCTTCTGCCCATTTTTTAATTGGATTGTGTGTTTTTCTGGTTTGAGTTGTCTGAATTCTTTATATAGTTTGGATACACTATTAACCCCTTATCAAATGTTTTATTAGTGAATACCTTCTCCCATTTAGTAGGTTTTCTTTGTTTTGTTGTTAATTCTAGATATTC